TTGACAAAAGAAGTGTTCTTTTGTTTTCTCCTTGTGCTTTGTGAATGTGGGAGGAAGAGGAAGTAAAGATCGATCGGTGGAAAAGTGCACATCACTTGAATAAAACAATACATAAGAACCCTCCCATTTGCTCCTTTCCATACTATCACCTCTAGCCTTATCTCCCTTCTAGCTAGCTAGCTTACTCTTGGGGTAGATGGCATCTTCGCGGGAATCTTGATGGAACGGTCGACTCGAATATGAGATATTTCTCAATTTCTTGTATTAATAGAGTTCTAGAAACATACCTTTCGACAGAAATTATGTTAAGCATGAATTGTTAGCAAAATATAGCTATCTATTACAACAAACATATGAAAACTGGAAATCGTATGTAGCTACTAAATCGTTAATTTGCACCGAATCACCTGTCAACATCATTCATTAAGATGACAAAGTCGCATATCCATCAAGTTCGTACGCCAGGATATAATCACCTATCGATGTTGTTTAGCCAGAAAACCAGACATCATGGTCAGGGTTTATACCTTACCCTTTGCTTTGACAAAACCTCTCTTTTATCATAGGATGACAAGCAAGCCCTACTATTTTGGTAGGTATAGCTAGGCACTAACCCTAACCCTTTGATTTGAATTGTATGGTCACTAGCTTTTGGTGAGTGTTTTTCCCTCCCACCCATGAGCGTAAAGTAAGTAAACTTCTGATAACAAACATGTACTACAAATATGGTCTCCACTCCATGTTCAAATATATGGATATAAATGGAGCTTCAATACAAGCAAACCATCATAATATATTGGCTATATAGCCTCTCTACTGCCAAAGAGCCCAATGAACTCCACAATGCCTCCAAATTTCCTTTCTGTCCCCTCATTGCTGCTTTTGCCATATCAAGATCCACCCCAAGAACCAGACGAAACTATAGTGCATGTCCCCTAAGCCCATGTAGCAATCAGCGATATGGGCATGAGAAATATTCCCTCTTCGATCTCTCTCTCTCTCTCTCTCTAGCTTTTCTCCTTTCACCATCCATTATTGCACATTTTTCATTTCTGTTTTGTACATTTCCTACATTCATTTCATGGTCAACAAAATTTCCATTTCTTCTTCTTGTTGTTCTTGTTCCTGTGCTGCACTCTCACATCATGTTTTTTGCAAAAGGGAAAAAATGGGGGAAAGAAGCCAAGCTAGGGGGACCTCAAAGACTAGAGCATATGAGAGAGCTAGCTTGCAAAGCATATGTTGAGAGATCGATCACATGGATTGTCCTATGCTTTGCTTTCTCATAAATGGGCTGTGAAAACGATTCGAGCTTATAGTGGTTATATGTGCAACGGGGTCATCATAGCTAGCCACATTATCTTGTGAAAGTTAGTTGTACAAGATTTTGGTCCCGATCGAATATATGGGTAGGCACATGATGATGAGAAGCAACCAGACTTGGCAGTAAGTTAGGGTTTAAGAATTGGCAGTAAGTTAAAGGATTGGTCACTTGGTATGTTGTAAAGGAGCAAGCAATCGATAATAATGTCAGAAAAAAGAAACAACACATAACAATGATAACATCATTGTGATTCACTAACATGTTGTGTGTTTGTTAGTTCACGATCCGAAGAGATTAGTTCACTATATCGAGGAAAGTAAAATTAGAGAAAAGGAGAAAAGGTTTATATACGCACTTTCTCCAAAATCCAAGCTCTAAACGGAAACATCCAAAAAAACTATGGAGATGAAAAGGATAAAAATAGCAGGAAAATAAAAAGGTAAAAAGAAATGCACAAACTCATATTTCAAATTAGGGACTCCATAACTTCCCGGCCCATCAATGACTTATATAAAGATTTCATATCATAACAACATGATATGATATCAGTCGGTTGTGTTTGGTAGAATCACATATGTTTCTAGTGTTAAGTGCTCAAAAAGGACTAGTAGAATTACAATTTTACGAGGTTCATATCAATTTAATTTAATAGTTCGTTATACTACTTTAAGAATTCGAATCAGGAATCCCCAAGTTGAAAATCAGCAACAAAATCGATAGACCAAATCCTTGTTTACATCCAGCTAATGGATTGACCTTATTCTCGGAGATAAAATATACCCTTTTGTGCATGAAATCCTTGGGGGTATCCCAACTTGCTAAGGAAAACACGATGCTAACACATATAGCTAGTTGCATGAGATCGCATTGATAATGAACGAATATGAGAGCAGCTCCATTCATAACTGGGAGGTTAAAGTAACTGCTAGTATTTCATTCATAACCATTTTCCATTACATACAAAAGCGACGTGGGACTTTCAGAATTTGTCTTTCACTTTCACCCCACCGGCCACCACCAATGGAAAAGTGGGCAACCTATGAATTTACTGCTTTTTCAGGGGCCATCGATCTCTCACGGCGACAGCCATTTCCCTTTCATCAGCTGCCAATTCCTCTTTTCCCAGGTACCTTTCCTACCCTCCACCAACAAGTACGTACTAAAGCCATTTGCCCATATAGTACTACCAGTTAACTCTCGCGCCTTGATCTCATGTAATGTTTGTTTTGTATGTGTAGAAATTAAAAGCCATGGATTTGGCTTTGATCGACAACTCGCAAGAATTTCGTTACAAAGTCAACAATCGACATAGAGGTGTGGTGGAACGACTACGAAAGGTTTTATATATTTGAATCGAGTGGTCTCCCGTGCATGCAACAACTTTCTTACTGAAACATCTGATGAACTATCAGAGGGTAGGACCACCAGACGCGTCTCTTTCTTTTGCGCTCAAAGAACTTCAGCTCGATCAGCCTAGATAAAATACTTCGTACATACGAGGTTACAGGCTCGTGTTCGAGCTGCTTCGGTGAGCCTAGTTGCGAGTCTAATTTGTGCAAAGTAAGAAAGAGACCTGGATGATTCTCCACCGTGAGTCGCCAATGGTTCACAATCATTCAAATGCACACGATTTCTTAGCGCGTATATAGAAGATAGTCACCAGCAAGAAACGACAATCAGCCACATACAAGAAACAGTATCAACATACCCAACCTCGAACCACGATAATCAACATGTTGCATTAAACAAGTATCATTCAATTAGGTTTCTCTCTTGGTTTATATAATTTCACTAGGTCCACTAGATGTGCCCATCCTCCTCTGTCTGGTCTATTATGCAACCTGCTAGCTAAGCCATAGCTAAGCAATTGTATAGCTCACATTTCACAAATCTGGTACTGATAACACTAATACAAGAGATAAGCCCTTTTCTTTTCCTCCCCACAGTTCATTACCAGTATTAGCAAAAGATTCCCCTTAACAAAGCTTTCCCTCACTGCTTCAATTATGACCCACTAAACCCCTCATTCAAACCAAAAAGGACACCATACCCTTAATTGGCAAACTAACCCTATCTTCTGCCCTGCAATAATAAGTTATTACATTGCAGACAAAACAAAATTTTGCAAAGTGGGTTTTGAAAATTGCTTGACTTGGACACCTGCCACCCTCAAGGTTTCAGCTCCATTGCACATTTTTGTGCACAAAAAAGGGGCCACAAAAAAATGAATTATGTGGTGGAAAAATTAGGAATTTAATTACTTCCATTGGCTGGAATCACCTAATTATTCTGATCTCTGCAGCAGGCTAAGGATTGGGCCTTAATGGATTGTATACATATATATATGTAGCTGAACACAATTTGGCACTATGTGGCTGGTTGCTGTTCTGCAGAAGAATCAAATGTTTCATTTTTTGGAAGAAAAAAAAATTATTTCAATAATAATAAAGTTTGGAGAGAGGAGGAAAAGAACAAACAATTCAGTGTATTTTGTGGACACAAGGTAGGAAATCAGTGGAGGAAATTAAAAACAAGCTAGCTAGAAAGGTGTTACATATAAATATACCCAAACATTATCGAGATTTTCTGCAGCAAACTATTCCATATATGCAACCAAAATTACAGGTAGACTAGAAATAAATTATAAAGGGGAAAAAATAATGACTAGAGAGGTAGCTGCTGGGAAAAGGGGAATTCATAATTGAGATGGCTGCTGGCAGCTGCTAGCTATAGAGTAATGTACAGCTAAGGAAAATTAACCCAATTGGTTTCGTGTCATATAAATATAATTGAGTTGAGATTCAAAATTACGACAGGTAAAGTTGAATTTAGTCAGTCTTTCTGACTCTAAAGTCTAGAATTAAAAGGTAGTATTCCCTATGCTTACTTAAAGAAAACTTGCTCATAATAATAATATAATGACACTTACTTACTACTCAACATAATCAACTCAAACCATAAACCTAAACATAATTCATTCAAATTTTCAAGAAGAACAAATATCCAAGTATATGGTATGTTGGTGTATCTATTTATTTAGTTTTATTTATTTCCTGATGCATGCATCCTCAACTACCACTGTGGAGATCCCAACAAAAGGACTGCCTACAGCAAGCCTAGAAATTAAATAGGAAAATAAAGATAAAAAGAAGCACAGAATTGGTGACAGAGAATGAGAGGGATGGGAAGGTTAAAAAAAACAGCAAGGGAGTGATGTCAGAAAGCTTGGCAGAGAAAGCAAAGAGTGGTTAAAAAATGATGTCATTTAATAAGAAGGTTAAAAAATTTTACCCATTTGTTTATTTATCCACTGAAATGTAGGAGGAAGAAGAAGAAGAAGGGTAAGGGTAGAAGAGGAGAAGAGAAGATCATCTCTTCTTCAATGCTCCCAACAGGAAGAACTATCATCATTGACACATAAAAAGGAAAGTTTGGGAATCTTCTCTGCCAAAAAATCCCACCCCCACAATGATTCAATTTCATATGGCAAATAATAACCACTACCCATTATTTAAAAATCCAATCTTTTTGTTAGGTTTCCTATTTTGAAAAAATAGAATGAAGGAAAATATTAAAAAAATAAATAAGCACACTGTTGTGTGGCCCTTTGCTTTTTCTTTCACTGTTTTGATTGAGCCATCAGAGTTCTAGTTAGTTGTTGATCCAAAGGAAACTTACCTCAATTTCTGCTACAGCCTACTACTGCTGCATGGCTGCAGCAGCAAGCTATAGATCTCTGATTTCTGCATATTGGATTCTTCTTGGTTAAAAAAAAATGACACAATAGTCACCAAAACTAACCACAACTCCCCATTTCATCACTCAATTCCTTGCAAAAATGAAGCAGAATTCATGAAAGATGAATCGAACCCACATCCAGAAACCCAAGAACAAAGACAACCCACATCTCGAATCAGTGAACAAACACTGAAAGGTGAAACCTTTTCTCACCCCCCACGGTAAAAAAGGTGAAAAGCTGAGGAGTATAGTAAAGTATAGTTTTTTTTTTTACCATGGCAGTTTGGGTAGCTTCCTGGTTGTCCCTTGGGAGTAATTTTCTAAGCCCTGAGAGTGACATGTTCTCCCACAGCTTTCTTGAGCTCTCCGGCCATGGAAATCATGCTCCATTGTTAGTGGGAATTGAGAGTTTATAGCAGAGGAAAGTTCAAGAAAGCTGTGGAATAGCATGGCACGGGCTTCCCTTCCCTCGACATAGTAAAAAAGAAGAGATCTTTCACTTGGGTTTTCCTCTGTTGGGAGGTAAAGGAGAAGAGAAATTGAAAGAGAGAGCTGGAGATGGAGAAAGAGAGGTGGAAAGGGAGAAGGAGGAGGTAGGATGCTGAAAGGGTCTTCTAGCATATGCCCATCCTTATAAGCAGAAGGAAGAAAAAAAATCCCATATTGGACCACTCTATACCTTGAGTAATCTTTGTAAGCAGCTTTATAGAGAGGGAAGAAGAAGTGGGGAGGTGAGAAGTTTTGTAGGGTTAACTTCCACTTCCTTTCCTTACCTTTCCCCAATTTTTGACTTTTCTATTTTGGCAGAAGTTTCCCACTTTTTTTTTTCAAAAAAGAAAAACATTTTTACTGTCTGAGTTACAACAAAAGATACAAAATTTGAAAAGGAAAAATATTTCCTACCTTTCTACTAGTGTGGTGACGGGTGAGTGCGATGTGGGTTGCTCAGAAGATAAATATCGAATTATTTTATTTAAAATAGAGTTTCTTACTATTATGTTTGTTAAGTGTATAGGATAATTATTGATCATGATTAGTTAATTCCTTTACTAAAATTTGTTCATGATCATGCATGTATGGTTGTTATAGAGTTCAGAAATATTTTGCATGACTCGCACATCATGCATGTCTATGTGACCGATTACGATAGAAAATTTGTTATAGATATATTACTAAACATGAACAAACCACAAAATAATAACGTTTCTATAATATCCCTAGAATTTTAAACCGATATAGTACAAGAGCTAGGAGTACCACCACTCTAAAATAATGCTAGCTTTAAAGTGTTTATTTAGTTATATCACCATATACATTCGTGCATACGTTAAACTTTGACTTTGATGTGAAGAAAAAGAGGTTGGAACTTGAGAGGCTTGGGATTTGAAATGGAGTCCCACAAAATTCCTGCACATGTACCTAGCCAGATTACACGGGTGTTTTGACTGCTGTATGTTTGACAAGTTTTCGACTTACTAAAACAAAAAATTACATTCATTTGTAAAAGCAAGATTTCAGCTTCGAATTCGATGACTGTAATTCGCGTATAAAAACCGTAAATAGTATCGTTAAATCAAACTCTAGAGTAACAAACAATTACCAAGGGACACCATGAAGGGCATTCCCATCCCCATCACATGGTGGCATGTGCATGATAGCAAAGATCTCTTGCCATTGTAATATATTTTTTCATGATTTGGTAGGGAGAGAAAAAAAAAACAAAGGTATGGGTTTGTTTATGGTCCCCCAATCCCATATGTTGTTTTCCTTACTAATCATGTAATTATAATAATAGTGTGCAAACATATTTTTTTTATGTTATATGTACAACATGGACATGATTAATTGTAACATAATAAAAAAATACCAAAAATATATATTAAGGGTATTTATTTGCAAGGTTGGCTGGCAGGGGTGCCCTTAGAACATGTCCTATTGTTACCTAGTTACAGCTTTTACATGCATGTATGTACCTCTGGTGGCCTTCTGTGAAATCACTTCGTGTGTCCTTTATTCCAAAAAGCTTCCTCCTTTTTATTTTGATAACAATGGCTGGTGATCGCTTTAGACCCCAAGACAACGATGATACAACATGAACTTTTTAGTGGTACTTGGATCGCCAAAATAGTGTACCACAATGGTAAAAGAATAAAAGGAGAGGGAGTAAAATGGTAAATTACAGAGGGGAAAAACAGGCACTGAATTTGGAGCTCGATCATTAAACTTTGGTTTTTGATAACTGCGTATAAGTAAGTCGGGATAACTAAAAATACAATCGTTTTGTGTCCATCATCATCAAGTTTTTCATTCAAATCGTCAAGATCACTATGTTAATTCACACAAGTTAACGATAAAAAGGGGTCACGCGTACCCTTTACCCAACCACCTACATGGAAAGGAGACAGATTGAATATTAAATAGGATGGTTTGAGGTAATACGAGATAAGATCGAGTAATATGTTGGAATTAACGCTTGCACACCAGGCTAAGACAAATGAGTTATCTTTTCACGTGATTTAATCAAGGTCTTTTATGTCGTATTATCATTAGTATTTTTTACTCATTTTTATATGACTCTGGTCTGGTGAAAGAAATGAGAAAGATGGATATTCCAGAATATAGCAACCATTAGATGTATGGTGAAAGGGGGTGAAGCAATGAGCTTATAAGTGTACCCTACTATTACCAAGTAAGAATTTTTGTTTCCAAATTAATATACGTTCTAATATTCAATATATGGGATTGATAAGCTATACATGAAGCTAACATGTTGGGATATATTTGCATGTTGCTTGGGGGTGGGGGCACACTATCATGTTTGCATAAGAACTGATTTTTTTTTTATGCATTGCAAATTTACAATACAATACTACTTATCACAAAAAAAAAAAAAAAAAAGGGTAATTCACTTTATCGCTCCTATAATAATTTGGGGAAATCGGGGAGGGAAGAGGGATAACATAAAGATATTATGATCACATGATGATATGCTGTAATGTTTAGTGGCAAGTGGGCCTCCAGAATGAATGGGGGGAGATGATGTTGGGTTTGTGGGCCCCTTTTCCTCCCTTAATATCGGGCCCAATCCACACAATTTAAACCGTTTCTTGCATCTACTACAGTACTACTAGTCTACTACACCTTGAATTTTAGCTGGACTTGATGGAAAAAATAACATTTTACATTTGGTAGTAATGGTTTTTGATGTGGTTGTACTCGGTTGGAATTGTATTCAACTAACAATTTGGAAGGATGGACAGTTAATTGAAATTAGCTCAACTACGACGGTAAAGGATGATTCAAGACACATAGTCTGATTTGTATACTTTTTACGTATGTGTTATTCTCGATAATTTTTTGTTTCACCATCGGTTTTAAGTTATTGTTGTGTGCGTTGATATGTTGTGGTTGTAGTGAGAGTGCAACGCAAGTGGCCTAGCCTGCAAGTGCAAGTGCAATGCAATATCTCTTAGGGTGCGTTTGGATAAGTGGATTTTAAATGTAAGGTATTTGAAATATTAGCATTTGAAATGGATGTATTCGAAATATTAGCATTTGAAATACATGTAATTCAAATTCATTGTTTGGATACTCATTTGTAATTTGTTTGTATTTTGTATTTTATGATTTTCAATTTCAATTTTTAATTTTCTGGTCACTTACTACAAATTTTGGTAAATTACAGTTTGGTACCCAAAATTATTTTTTCTTACAATTTAGTACCTAAACTTTTAAAATTTTACAAAAAGGTCCTAAAATTTTGTTGGTAAATTTACATTTTGGTACCTTTATAAGTTTTGCCTCACACTATAGTACCTAAACTTTTCATATTTTACAAATAGGTCCATTCTTTTGTTAGGAGGTATTTCAAATCACTAGTTGTTGAAATGTATTTGAAGTTGACAAAAAATACACTAGACATGTATTTGGAAATCACCCCATGAATTTGACACAAATCCAAATACCAAATGTAATTAATATCCAAACACATGATTTGGTATTTGGAAATCCAAATCACAAATACCAAATCCAAATCATTGTATCCAAACGCACCCTTATGCAAATCAATATGCAGCTAAATCGAATTTCAATCATTTTTTATATAATATGACAGAAACTATCAATCATAGTATAATCGAAAGCACGGACCACCGATAAAAGTTGGAACCAAAGTTGTTAAAGATTGCAGTTAATTGTCCAAACCGAAATCTATAGTTCACAACCTACAAATCACTTGTGATTTTGTAGCTGTAGGAGGGATTCTCAACGACAAATGGACAGTTACCGATTCCACCAATCACATCCTTCTTTCGTCCGTCCGTCCGTCCACCAATGCGGCCAAACTTTTCGGCTTTTCCATCTCACTGCCCGCCCCACCGGCGCCCATAAAAACCAGGCTCATGGGCGGGCCCCCGCCAACTCGATTGGCCCCATTTCAAAAGGCCCAGGCCCACCCCGCCCACACCCCCATCTGATGATAAGCCCCCTTCCTCAAACTCTCTTTCTTCAAAACGACATCCATCCAACTGTCAAGATCCACTTCAACTCTATTGGTCACCATAATTCGAAATGTTGGAAGATGTTGAATAATAGATCTTATACCACATACAAACACCTCTCATCAAATGAAAGTCACTCGGAAGTAGGGATGGCAATAGATCGGGTCGGGGACGGATAGTGTATATCCGTTACCCCAGCCAAAGTAGTTGGAGTTTTACCCATACCCACATAAGAAATGGGTAGAAAATTCAAACCATGCCCATATCCGTTCGGGTTTCGAGTATCCACGGTTATCCATGGGTAATAGTTTCTCTTTATAACTCCAACCAATATGTTAATATTCACGCATATTCTTACGTTACGTAAGATGAAATGTACGACAATAATTCACTAGAGTGAAGAAAATTAACTAAAACAACAAAATTTCATAAAAATATTATATTTATAAGCTAAATATAAAATATGTTAGAGAAAAATATTGATTATTTCTAGACAAAATACATTTGCATGCGTATAATCGGGCGGGTTCGGGTTGGATAGTGAGAAAACCATGTCCATCCATTACCCGCGATATTCGGGTTCGGGTTTTACCCTACCTGATTAGGTTGGATTCGGACGGATATCCACGGCTACGGATATTTTTGCCATCCCTACTCGGAAGACATTTCGATCACAGAATGCGTTGATACCATATCAAGACCGAGTTAGATTTAACAACTCGAATTACTAAGAGAAGTTCAATGACAGTGCTAGGAATCTGAATAAGGGAAGGCTAAAATGAATCGTGGTAATTAGAATCGTGGTAACTGACGAGAGGGGTTAAGACCTCACCGACTATTCTATTTATAAATTTTTTAAGAATTTTACATGTAATTTTGCATTCGTCAATAACATTTCATGATTTCAACCTAACTTCACCAAAGATCAATTACCCATCTTAATTCACCGTTGTCAAATCGCAGTTGTCACCGCCGGTAACATATAATTCACCGCCCTTTTTCCATCTTTTCTAATGACTTGCT